GTAGAGACAGGGTTTCACCATGTTGGTCAGACTGGTCTTGAGCTCCCGACCTTAGGTGACCCACCCACGTCAGGCCCACCCGAAAGTGCTGGGATTACAGGCGTGAGCCACCTCACCTGGCTATTCTGAATTTTTTATGCGGTGCGGGGAATGGATCAAAGTAGTTGTTCTTTGTTCCTCTTTCTTCTTCCTCCTCCTCCTCTTCTTTCTTCCTCCTCTTCCTCCTCCTTTTTTTAACTTCATTTTGTAGATGAACTCCTTCCTTCTTCCTTTCTTTCCTCCTCCTGCTCTTCATTTTTCTTCCTAGTTTTCCAAGTACCATTCTGTTGAAAGGACTGTTCTTTCTCCAGGGAACTGCCTTTGCACTTTGTCATAAATTAGTTGGTCACATATGTGTGGGTTTGTTTCTGCACTCTGTTCTATTCTCTTGATCTTGATGTCTGTTTTTATGCTTGTGTCACACTGTCTTGATTATTGTTCCTTTGTAGAGGCCTCCAAGTTTGTTCTTTCAGTTCAAAGTTGTTTGGAGTATTCTAAGTCTTTTGTCTTTCTATATGAATTTTAGAGTCACTCAGTTTCTACAAAAAGTCCTGCTGAAATATTGATTGGGGTTAAATTGAATCTGTAGGTCAATTTGCGTAGAATTGATATTAATCGTTTTGAATCTACTAGTCCATGAACACTGTATGTCTCCCTAAAGGTTTAGGTCTTTAAAAAATGTTTTTTTCTCAGCAATGTTGAAAAATTTTCAGTGTGCGGGACTTCACATCTTTTGTTAGATTTATACCTAAGTATTTCTTGTTTTTGATACTATTGCTAATGGTAATTTTTAAATATCTGAACTTATGGTAGAGTTTGTATAGAATTGACATCGATTCTTCCTTAAATATTTGGAGGAATTTTCCATTGAAACTATTTGTGCCTGGAGTTTCCTTTGAAGATTTTTAACTAAAAATTCAATTCCTTTTAGGGCTGTTCAGATTGTTTATTTATCTTAGAGTGAACTTTGCATTTCATCTTTCAAATAATTTGTGTATTTCATCCAAATTGTCATTTATTGACATAAAGTTGTTCATACTATTACCTTATTCTTCACCCCTCCTCTGTTAGCCTTTTTAATTTCTCTGGAATCCATAGTGATGACACCTCTCTTCTGATAGTAGTTTTTTTTGAGACGAAGTCTTGTTCTGTCGCCCAGGCTGCAGTGCAGTTGTGTAATCTTGGCTCACTGTAACCTCCACCTCCCAGGTTCAAGCGATTCTCCTGCCTTAGCCTCCTGAGTAGCTGGGACCACAGGCATGCGCCACCACACCTGGCTGATTTTTGTATTTTTAGTAGACGGGGTTTCGCCATGTTGGCCAGGCTGGTCTCGAACTCCTGACCTCACATGATTTGCCCACCTCAACCTCCCAAAGTGTTTGGATTACAGGCATGAGCCACCACGCTTGGCCTGGTATTTTGTATTCTTTACTTTTTTTGCTGATCAGACTGTCTAGAGGTTTATTAATATTACTGATCTCATAAAAACAACTTTTGTTTTTCTTCATTATTTTTCTGTTTTCAATTTCAGTAATATCTACTCTCATCTTTATTATTTCTTACTGCTAGGTTTCATTTGCTCTTCTTTTGTGATTTCTTTTCTTTTTTTTTTTTTTTCCAGGTTCAAGTGATTCTCCTGCCTCGGCCTCCCAAGTTGCTGGGATTACAGGTGTGCATCGCCACACCCAGCTAATTTTTGTATTTTAGTATTCACCATGTTGGCCTGGCTGGTCTCGAACTCCTGACCATTCACCATGTTGGCCAGGCTGGTCTCGAACTCCTGACCTCAAGTGATCCACCTGCCTCAGCCTCCCAAGATGCTGGGATTACAGGCATGAGCCACCATGCCCAGCCCTTGCTGGTTTTCTATCTGCTTGTTCTATCAAGAGGGTTATTAAAATCTCTGACTTTAATTGTGGATTAGTCTATTAGCAGTTACAGTAGTTTTTGTTTCATGAATTTTGAAGTTTCTTTCGTACATTTTTTTTTTTTTTTTTTTTTTGAGACGGAGTCTCTCTCTGCCGCCCAGGCTGGAGTACAGTGGCCGGATCTCAGCTCGCTGCAAGCTCCGCCTTCCGGGTTCACGCCATTCTCCTGCCTCAGCCTCCTGGGTAGCTGGGACTACAGGCGCCCGCCACCTAGCCCGGCTGGTTTTTTTTTGTATTTTTAGTAGAGACGGGGTTTCACCGTGTTAACCAGGATGGTCTCGATCTCCTGACCTCGTGATCTGCCCGTCTCGGCCTCCCAAAGTGCTGGGATTACAGGCTTGAGCCACTGCGCCTGGCCTTGTAAATTTTAATAGATACATAAACATTTAGGATTATGTCCTTTTGAATCAATTCCTTATCATTATTAAATGACCTTCTTTATTCCTGGTAGTGTTTGCACTGAAGTCTACTTTGTGTGATATTAATACACTCCAGCTATCCTTTTTTTGAGACAAGGTCTCATTCCCGTTGCCCAGGCTATAGTGCAGTGGCACAATTATAGCTCACTGCAGCCTCAACTCTCCCGGTTCAGGTGATCCTCCCACCTCAGCCTCTCGAGTAGCTGGGGCTACAGGTGTTTGTCCCAATACCCAGCTAATTTTTTGTATTTTTGGAGAGATGGCGTTTCGCCATGTTGCTCAGGCTGGTCTCGAACTCCTAGGCTCAAGTGATCTCTCTGCATCAGCCTCCCAAAATGCGGGGATTATGGGGATTACAGGAGTGAGCCACTGTACCCGCCCTTCCAGCTATCCTTTGATTAGTGTTATGGTGTATCATTTTTTATTGTTTTATTTTCTCTTATATATGCCTATATAAAGTGAGTTTCTTTTAGGTAATATGTAGTTGTTTCTTGCTTTTTTCCCTATGTACACATTCTGCCTTTCAGTTGGAGTGTTTAGATCATTCCGTATGCTTATTGATTAGGCAAGTTTAATTAAAATCTACCATATTACCATTTGTTTTCATTTGTACCATCTGTTTGTCTCCTTTTTTTTTTCTTCTTTTGGATTATTTTTTGTTCTCTTCTATGTTGGCTTGCTTGCTACAACTCTTGCGTTATTTTATTGGAGTTCATCATTAACTTATCACAGAGTACCTTCAAGTGATGGACCACTTTACCTGTAGTATGAGAGCCTTAAAACAGTGTGCTTCTGTTTCTCTCTTCCCAGCTTTGGTGCTATTATTGTCAACATTTTTCTTCTGTGTATGTTATAAACCCCACAATGTAGTATCTGTGTTTTTGCTTTAAATGATTGTAGGCCAACAGGTTTTTCTTTCAGAACTTTAACATGTCACCTTACTGTCTTCTAGGCTGTGTTGTTTCTAATAAGAAATCTGCTGTCATCTTGATCTTTGTGTTTCTGTGCATGTCTTCTTTTTCTGCCTGCTTTTTATCAGATTTTATCACTGATTTGGCCGGGCGCCGTGGCTCACGCCTGTAATCCCAGCACTTTGGGAGGCCGAGGAGGGCGGATCACGAGGTCAGGAGATTGAGACCATCCTGGCTAACACGGTGAAACCCCGTCTCTACTAAAAATACAAAAAATTAGCCGGGCCTGGTGGTGGGCGCCTGTAGTCCCAGCTACTGGGAGGCTGAGGCAGGAGAATGGTGTGAACCCGGGAGGCGGAGCTTGCAGTGAGCCGAGATCGCGCCACCGCACTCCAGCCTGGGCGACAAAGTGAGACTCCGTCTCAAAAAAAAAAAAAAAAAAAAAGATTTTATCACTGATTTTAAGCAATTCAATTCCAATGTGACTTGGAGTTGTATTCTTTGTATTTCTGATGCTTGCAGTTCATTGAGCTACTTGGATCTGTGGGTTTATAGTTTTCATCCATCCGGGAAACTTTCCCCATTGTTTCTTCAGATGTTTTGTGTGTTCCCCCATGTATTACAGTGTGTGAGGTTGTTCCACAGCTTACTGATGATTTGCACTTTTTTTTCTGGTATTTTTTCATTCTGTGTTTTAGTTCAGAATTTTTTTTTTTTTTTTTTTTTTGAGACAGAGTCTCGCTCTGTCGCCCAGGCTGGAGTGCAGTGGCGCGATCCTGGCTCACTGCAAGTTCCACCGCCTCCCGGGTTCAAGCCATTCTCCTGCCTCAGCCTCCCTAGAAGCTGGGACTACAGGCGCCCGCCACCACACCTGGCTAATTTTTTTGTATTTTTAGTAGAGACGGGGTTTCACCGTGTTCGCCAGGATGGTCTTGATCTCCTGACCTCGTGATCCGCCCACCTCGGCGTCCCAAAGTGCTGGGATTACAGGCTTGAGCCACCGCGCCCGGCCTTAGTTCAGAATGTTTTGATTGTTATGTCTTCACGTCACTAATCTTTGCTACTACAAAATCTAACCTGTTAATGTTCTGCAGTGTATTTTTCATCTTAAGTGTTACAGTTTTTATCTCTAGGTAATAGGTTCGTAAAGGGCCAGGCATTCAATGTTTTCAGCTTTGCAGGCCATATAGTCTCTCCTGCAGCTACTCAGCTCTGCTGCTGTAGCTTGAAAGCAGCCATAGACAATACATATTTGTGGCTGTGTTCTGATAAAACTTGATTTTAAAAACAGACGGGGGCCGGGCACAGTGGTACGTGCCTGTAATCCTGGCACTTTGGGAGGCCGAAGCAGGCAGATCACTTGAGGGCAGGAGTTCAAGACCAGCCTGGCCAACATTGCAAAACCCCGTCTCTACTAAAAATATAAAAATTAGCTAGGCATGGTGGCACATGCTTGTAGTTCCAGCTACTCAGGAGGCTGAGGGACGAGAATTGCTTGAATCTGGAAGGTGAAGGTTGCAGTGAGCTGAGATCGCACCACTGGCACGCCAGCCTGGGTGACAGAGTGAGACTGTGTCTCAAAAATAAATAAATAAATACATTCATAAAATAAACAAATGGGAAGAGATTGATCTGGCCCGTGGGCTGTGGTTTGCTGACCTACTGCCACTTCCTCAATGGCCTCTCACCCTTTGGTTCCACAGAGCTGCGGTGCAACCCTGGGCAGTTTGCCTGTCGCAGCGGCACCATCCAGTGTATCCCCCTCCCCTGGCAGTGTGACGGCTGGGCAACTTGCGAGGATGAGAGTGACGAAGCCAACTGTCCAGGTGAGTATGTTGCGTAGGCTGGGTACACACCACCTTGTCTCTTTGTTGTAGCTGGGTGACTGTGCCTCTTGTGAGGGGTGGAGGTGTGTGCTGTCTTAACATATTGGAAAGTTAGTTTGAGCCGACCCCTTCCTCTCTCTCTCTCTTTCTATCTTTTTAAAAAATAGGTGCCCAACCTAGGCAGATCCCAGAACTTACAAGATGGCAGGACTGTGGGGAGGCCTGTGAGATGCCCAGGAGGCCACACTTAAGGAGGCGCTGCACTCCCTGGACTTGCATGGTCTTGAGTGTGAACCCCTCCTGAGGGGTGGCACCCTGGCTGCCTCTGACCTTATCCCCATCCTGGCTCTGGATGTGGCTGCCTCTTGATCCCGAGTGTGCTCTTTTAGACTGACCTTGGCACGCCCTCCCCTCCTGCTCACTTATTCACCTGGAACTTTGCACTTGTGGGTTCTCTCCTGGCCATATGTAGCCTCCTAAAGATGTATGTAAAGGCCACAAAAAGGCTAAATCAGAGAACCAGATTCTTTAGCCCCAGCACCCTCAAGGAATACAGGGTACCCCATGAGTAACAATGTTCACTGGATCCGTTGTTCTCAACTTGTGTTGGGTGGGAGGTGTAGTGAGTACTTATGCATGTGTGTGTGAATGTGTGAGACATACATATACATGTATCCACAAATTTGTTTTTAAGAGTAGGTGGTGCTGATAAAGCCACTAAGGGGAAAGTGTGTCTTAACACCAGCTTGAGAATCACAGGCCTAAATGCTTTGGTCAGGCATGCAAACTCCTTCACAAACTGCTTTGCCAGCCTGATTTATCACTACTTCCCCTTCAGTGGCTCAGCTGGGCTGTTGTTTCCTGTACCCACCCCCATTAATAATCTGCTAGATGCGTGCTTCCTTTATGTTTTCCTGGAATTCCCTTGTTCTGTTTCTGCATAGACAAGCCCTGCTGTCCTTCAGGCTGTAGCTCAGATGCTACCACAGTGGGAGAATGTCTGTGGTCCCTCCTTTTATAGATTGGCTTCTTCCAGTCCCCCACTCGTCCCTCTCTTACAGCATCAGAACCATTGGTAATTCTCACCATGCCTGGTGCCCAGGCTTGATTTTTCCATCCAGACTATGAGCTCCCAGAGGGCAGAGACCTTTCTCCTTCCTTAGTGGGACTTGGCCTAGGACATGAACGGTGTGCCATAATTCCTGTAGGCTTAGTACTGAAGGAAAACCAATTCATTCCAACCAGGGTATTAGGTAGGGCATTAGGTGACATTTGAACTTGAAGGAGAATCACTTGAACCTGGGAGGTGGAGGTTGCAGTGAGCTGAGATCATGCCAGTGCACTCCAGCCTGGGCGACAGAGTGAGATTCTGTTTAAAAAAAAAAAAGGCCGGGCGCGGTGGCTCAAGCCTGTAATCCCAGCACTTTGGGAGGCCGAGGCGGGCGGATCACGAGGTCAGGAGATCGAGACCATCCTGGCTAACATGGTGAAACCCCGTCTCTACTAAAAATACAAAAAATCAGCCAGGTGTGGTAGCGGGCGCCTGTAGTCCCAGCTACTCGGGAGGCTGAGGCAGGAGAATGGCGTGAGCCCAGGAGGCGGAGCTTGCAGTAGGCCGAGATGGTGCCACTGCACTCCAGCCTGGGTGACAGAGCAAAGACTCCGTCTCAAAAAAAAAAAAAAAAAAGAAAAGAATGCTGTTTAGAGGGGGCCTCTCCTGATCATCCCTTCATCAGATTATGCATGTCTCCAGTGGAGGTGTTTGCCTTTCCAATTGGGGGTTTGGATGGTGTTGGCCCGGTCAGGAGCCTCTGGGACAGCCCTTTGACTGGGAGCCTCTCTGGTGGGTCTTTAGGGTCAAAACCCAGAGAAAGTGGATTCCCAGTGGGCTTCCCAGTGCTTGGGCTCCTTTGGTTGCTGGGTTCCCTGGTTGGTCAGCCTGGGGACGACCATGTGGTTATGAGTGGGAGCCTCCCCTTGTCTGACTCATAGAGTGAGACCTTATATCCAGCCTCTTGGAGAATTCCTGAAGAGAGAACCAGATGATTCTTGATTCACTTTCAAATGGAAGCAGAGCTTATTTGCTGTTCTCCAAGTGCCATTTGGCTTTGCTTTTGTGGTTGTTTGTAATAACTGTCCTGGTACGCACACTGAACATAATAGCATCCACTCTCATAGTTGCCGCCTTGTTCATTTTTCCACGCTCTGAAGACTTGTTGAAGGCAAGGTTTGATTTCCCTTTTTGACCACATGGCCTGGCATGGAGGAGGCATCAGCTTTGCACTTGAGTATTGGCTTGAAGTTACATTGGTTGCTATATGTTTTCCCTAGACAGAAAAATAAAATCTCTCATAGAAGCCGAGAGTTATGAGTGGTGGCCTGCACCAGGACTGAGCAGTGAAGGCATGACAATGAGGACCCGTGTGTCCAAGCCCGTTGAGACCCGGTAGGGCCTAGGAGTGTTCCAGGTGGGCTGAGGAGGCCACTGCCCTGGCAAGGCTCACTCTGCTTCCCCTTGACTCATGGTCCTATGATTGTCCTTGTATAGGGCTGTGTCACAGTCTGGAGGGTGAGCAGATTTATTTATTTATTTTTTTTTGAGACGGAGTCTCGCTCTGTCGCCTAGGCTGGAGTACAGTGTTGCGATCTTGGCTTACTACAAGCTCCGCCTCCCGGGTTCATGCCATTCTCCTGCCTCAGCCTCCCGAGTAGCTGGGATTACAGGCACCTGCTATCACACCTGGCTTTTTTTTTTTTGTATTTTTAGTAGAGGTGGGGTTTCGCCATGCTAGCCAGGATGGTCTCGATCTCCTGACCTCGTGATCCGCCCGCCTTGGCCTCCCAAAGTGCTGGGATTACAGGCATGAGTCACTGTGCCCGGCCAAGCAGATTGATTTCTAATTGTTCTTAAAGTTGAGATTCTGAGCAAATTAAGTCATTAAAATGTACAAAGAAAATGTAATACATATTTTCTTCCCTGAATTAATAACTGCTAACATCTTGTGATTTTTTTTCTAGTTTATTTTAAAAGAAATTTTTAAAAAATCATGGATATAGAGTCAGGTCTCCATTGACACTCTCCCTTCCCCCAACCTCCTCCCCCTGCAAAAAAAGGAAACTCTGTGTTGGTGGGGGGAGTAGAGAGTTAGCTAATAACCACATTTGCTCAAAAGCTGTGACCTTCCTTTGTATGAGGAGAGTTTTAGTAACCCTTTGGGAAGCCCTGGCCATGCTCAGTCAGGTTGCTTTTGAGCGCAGACTTCAGGACTTCTGGCGTTACCATGTGAGGTTACTTCATTGCCCTGCTAAAAGCCTACTAAAAAGGAATATAAAAAATGTAAAACCAAAGGGGATGAAAAAAGGGGAGAGATGTAACAGTAGATCAGTAATTTCTGCATGTTTTTGAAAAGAGGGAAATGGCATGTTAGGTACAACCTGGGCATTCAGTACCTTCCTGCTCCCTTCTGGGCTTGTCCCTGGGTTTCAGAGGCTGGAATACTGGAGCAGTAGCACTCAGAACCCTCTGGCAGCAGGCTTCTGTGTGTCATTTGCTCTATCACATGTGTCTTGGGAAATGTGGCAAGTGGAAGGGAGGTGGAACCTTTCTTCCTCAGGCCATAGTGTATGTGGGGGGATGTGCCTGGGCTTAGATTTTGTGGTGACTTTTTGCAGTGGCTTCTGCCTTCCCCCACTGGCCAGCTGTCTCAGGGCTGCAGAGCAGCTGCATTATTGGCAGCAGATTTTTGCAGTTTCCTAACCTATAGATGGCAGTGGTAGCTGCCTGACTCTTGACGATGACTGTAGGAATTAGATGGAAGAGTTAGCCCACTTTACTTTTGCTCACACTATATAGCCTTGCCAGTTGTTTTGAAAGCACCTATTTTCTATATTAAACCCTTTGAGTTTGAAATGCCTTAGCATGGTTTCTGTTTTCCCAATAGAACCGTCTTTGATATAAACGATTAACAAAAGATGTGTAAAATTTTTGAGGGAGAAAAATTTGCAATTTTATTAAGAGACATTAAAGAAGACAAATAATCCCAGAACTTTGGGAGGCCAAAGCGGATGGATCACGAGGTCAGGAGATTGAGACCATCCTGGCTAACACGGTGAAACCCCGTCTCTACTAAAAATACAAAAAATTAGCCTGGCGTGGTGGCAGGCGCCTGTAGTCCCAGCTACTTGGGAGGCTGAGGCAGGAGAATGGTGTGAACCCGGGAGGTGGAGCTTGCAGTGAGCCGAGATCGCACCACTGCACTTCCGCCTGGGCGGCTCAGCGAGACTCCGTCTCAAAAAAAAAAAAAAAAAAAAAAAATAGAGGCAGAATGTTCTTGCCTAGGAAGACTGAATATTTTCAAAACTCATATTGTTCTGTGGATTCAGTGCCTCTTTAAACCTCCTTGAGTTTTTTTGCTTGTTTGTTTTTTGAGACGGAGTCTCCCTCTGTCGCCCGGGCTGGAGTGCAGTGGCCGGATCTCAGCTCACTGCAAGGTCCGCCTCCGGGGTTTACGCCATTCTCCTGCCTCAGCCTCCCGAGTAGCTGGGACTACAGGCACCCGCCATCTCACCCGGCTAGTTTTTTGTATTTTTTAGTAGAGACGGGGTTTCACTGTGTTCGCCAGGATGGTCTCGATCTCCTGACCTCGTGATCCACCCATCTCGGCCTCCCAAAGTGCTGGGATTACAGGCTTGAGCCACCGCGCCCGGCCAAAACCTCCTTGAGTTTTATGTGAAATGTGATAAGTTGATTCTAAAATGTTGAGGAGAATTAAGTCCTAGTATTGAGAGGTCATTGTGAAGAAGAATAAGGAGGGAGCACTTGCCTTGCCCGTATCAAGACTTACTTCAGAATTGGCTCAGGGAAATCCAAATTGGCCAGTGAGACAGAAGCTGTCAGAAACAGACCTAAGAAGTTTGAATTCCAGAGGTGGAATTCCATATCGCTGTGCAAAGGACAGACCCTTCAAACATAGTGCTGTGACATTCGGAGAAGGATGCAG